GACACGGTAGCTGACCCTTTGGCTGATGTAAGTGCATGTAGAGTTTTTGACTTCAGGATACTTCCATGTTGCGGAAGCTGACCCTTAAGACGATAGATGTGTGGTTAATGGGTATGAACCCCTATCGGGTTTGAAGTCCTCTTCTGAAATACTTGGTTAGAGCCCCCTTTCGTAAGACTTGATGAGTATAAACCCTCATCCGGTTTGAAGTCCTCTTTTGAAAGACATGGTCGGAGTCCCCTTTTGTAAGACTCGATGAGTATAAGCCCCCATCCTGTTTGAATTCCTTTTCTGAAAGACTTGGTCGGAGTCCCCTTCTATAAGACTTGATGAGTATAAACCCCCATCCGGTTTGAAGTCTTCTTCTGAAAGACTTGGTTTGAACTGATGTAATAACAACTTACTGATATTGTTCATGCGCTGATTCCATGGGGAGTAATTTTTGTTTGAAGATTTTTTGCTTGACTTTTTGTTGTAGTCATCCGGTATGCCGAGGATTCTTTGCTTTTGGCTTTTTCTTTAGCCATCCGGCTTCTTGATTGCTGAGTGTTCTTTGCTTTTGGCTTTTCCTTTAGCCATCCAGCTTCTTGACTGTTGGGGATTATATTTTTCCAATTGTCATATAGCTTGTTCGATTGCTGAGGATTCTTGATAAATGCCTCTTAGGTAGGTAGGAATCCACTGGGGATTTGTTAATTCTGACGATGCCTCTTGAGTAGGCAGATGCTTCATTTGAAGTGAAGACTTTAGTGTTTGCACTATTTTGCCTCTGAATAGGCTGATATTCCACTTGGGGCTGTTGGCTCTTTGCCTGTCAGGTCTTGCCTATATGCAGGAAAGAGACTCTCTAAGGATATGAATTTGTAGACTACCTTTGTAGTAGGCTTACTGGGGATGATGTTTTCTCTTTTTTGATGATCCACCGGGGATTGATTGCCTTTCGGGTCTTCTAACAAAATTTTATTTTTTATTTTTAAGAAAATCTTCATTTTCTTAAATGGAGCCTAATGAACACTACTAAAAGCTTATAAAGTCTTATTCATCTTCAAAACGGAGGATTTCTGAACTTTATTATAAGATCAAACAAGATTTAGGGTCTATAAAGCACCATAATCAATTCTCAATGTTATGAGAATCAATTCTCTTCCAACATTTTCATTCATTTATTAAGATTAAACTCATGCTTCATAATTGATTCTAAAAGAGAATTAATTCTCCTTAAGGCAGAATAAGTTTTCAAATACTTTTTTATATTAAATTATACATGCATTTAATACATTTAATTATTATTATTAAATAATAAGTTATATTTATTATATATATTTTTAGTATTAATATTATTATTAATATATTGATAGACAAAATACATTCTCACCTAATAGATTCCCTTTTCAAATAATTTATTAATATTAATAAAGAATCCATTCTCAATTTTAGGAGAATTAATTCTCCTTCATTTTTTTATTTTTATTAATATTAAATTATGCTTATATTTAATTATTACTATTAAATAATAATTTATGTTTGTTATATATATATATATATATATATATATATATATATTATTATTAATTATGTTATTAATATATTAAAAAATTACATTCTCACCCCATATAATGGAGAATTCTCATTTATTAGTATTAACAGATCATAGATTGTCACAATAAAAATGGATTATCCTTTGTTTTTTAAATTTTTTATTAATATTAAATTATACTTATATTTAATTATTATTATTAAATAATAATTTGGATTTGTTATATAGGTATTTAATATTATATTAATAAAAAATTATTTATTAGTCTATTAAGGATACATTAATAATTTTATAATTATCAATTATTTAAAATATTTTATAATATATAAATATTTGATATGATTTTATAGGTTAACGGTAAAATAGAATATAAAATAAATTTTAGTAAAAATATATATAAATTAAATAATCAACGTTAAACAATATATTTCAATAATCTCGATATTAATACTAATAATATTGTAAATATTAATTTTATTTAAAAAAAATATACCAATATAATAATAATAATATTATTATTATTATTATTATTATTATTATATTAATACTTTAAACAAAATAATAAAAAAATTAGATGAAATAATAATACATAAATAAATAAAAAAATTAAATTTATTATTTTTATAATGTGTTTAGCTTTTTATTTTTTTTATTTTTTTACTTTATATAATTATTTTTATATGAAATATACTATAATAATTATTTTAAAATTTACAGTAAGATTATTTTAATTATTAGTTTACAATAATTTTAATGTGAAACAATATAAAAAAAATAACGTGGGTAAACATTTATTTTAAACTTTTCTATTTTAAATAATAACCCATATGTCATTTTAACATAATTTACCTTAATTATATTTTATTTTAAATTATATTTTTTAGATAAGGATAAAATTATAATCTTACTTATGAACAATTTTTTTTTAATCTATCAAACCAATCATATTACTCACAAATTTTTATACAATATTCTCTCATTTCTCTTCATTTTTTATTAATTTTCCCTTAATTCAAACCATTTCACTTTTACCTCTCTTTCTCTTCAAATTCACTCATTTTTTCACTCTCCCAAATCCATCTTTAATTCAAACACAATCTAAAGTTTTAACCAGATTTAACTTAACTCAATTAATCTAATCTCACCTATTTTAACTCGATTTGATCTGGTCCAAATTAATCACAAAACTCTATCAAACTTGTTTAGTTTAACTTGTTTTAATTTGAATTGATCTAGCATATTCTAATCTATCTTAACCTAAATCAATTTCATACGATTTTAACCTAGCAAGCTTTACCAACTTGATTTTACCTATAACTAACTATCTTTATTTTGTCAATCAAGTTTACTTAAACTAATCTAACCTAACTCAACACAACTTATCCAATTTTATTGAATTAACTGATAAAATCGTACTCGACTAAATTTAGTTTAACTTAATCTAACTTAACATAAATCAACAGAATAATATAATCTTGTATTTTTAATATTGAAAAAGAATATAATTCATGTCTAATACAAATTTAATTAATTATATTACATTTCAAATCCAAAAATATATTTAAAATTGAAATAAAGTCATTAAGAATAAAATTATTTCAATTTAAATAATTATAAATTAAATTTAAATATTTAATATTTTAGTTAACAATTTTGCTTTTTCCGGTAAAGTATAAATAGGCTGAGTCTCCTAGCTTCATTTTTATTTTTATGATCTTTAGTACAGAGCACTAATAAATACTTATTATGTCCTAAAGCATATTTTTGCCTAGAGTACCTATTTTATTCCATCTCCCTAATAAAATTCATTCAGCAAATAATAAAAAAATCTTAATATACCATAAAAATCTCCTTGAAATTGGAGCACCATAAATTTGAATGTGTATAGGGCTGTGTTGCAACTATGATAAGAGAGTATTGAATGTGGACTCCAACACTCGTAATTCGGCATAAAGTGATGTGCCCTCTCAACTTAAGCTTATCAAAGGAGAAATAATTCAACATACTTTTAAACAATTTGTTCATATATTCTTTTTTAACTGGTAAAAATTTATGAGAAATAAAAAAAAATTAGGTCTCAATAAAATACAATCAACACAAAATAATGTATTCCATCAATTTCGAAACATCATCTTTTAAGATTTTGACACGCTTATTTAAATATTTAATTAATATAAATCTACTAAAAAGTAGTTCTAAATTTTCAATTATTTTTAATGTAAAATATTTTGTGCTATGTTAAATAAATAAATATGACTATATTTTAAACACAAATTAAAAAAATTAGAAATGAAGAAAATGTAAAATAGTTTACGTCTGTCGTAGAGAAAGTTATAAGAAATTTTAAAAGATATTTAAATAATAAATTCCATTATTACGTGAGAGTGAAATTTTATTAGTTAACGAGGAAATTTCATAACAATTAAAATATTCAATCTAAATAAAAAATTAATATTGATATTTTAAAATTAAACAAATATAAATAAAATATATAATTAAAATTCTAATATATTTAAGTTTTTATAAATTACAAATTCTCTGTCTACATACAGTTAAGGTTTCATTTTCACTGACCTCCAATCCAACCAACAAATGTAGCCTTAACTACGCACAACCTGTTTCTTGTGTTGGAACCTACTTTACCAGCTACCTTCTCTTATATTAGCAACCAACTCTTAAATGATATAGCAACTGGCGCTACCCTGCCGGCTCTTGAAAAGTCTCCAACACTTTTCTCAAACCCTGGTGATCATACTCTCTATTTGAGATAGATTTTACATTCACCCTTTTACCTTCTCCTATTTTTAACCTTACAAAAATTCTTCTCAAATCTAAAATGGTTACTATGTTCGAAGATTATATTTATCGACATAAAGTTGTTACCAATATATATATACACACACGTTACACGTACATGTCTGTTTGTTGATTGCATTTTATAAAATTATTTACTTGTAGTTATTTTGAATAAAGTTATGATTGATGTGGTCTTAAATTTTTTTCAATACAGTGAGGTCATTAATTTTGAAGGTCAAATAATATATGATTAATAAATAATAAATAAATATAAAAAGATAAAATAAAATAATAAAAAGATAAAATTATAAATATATAAATAAATATAAATTGATCGTTAAATTTAAGAAGTTAAAATGAATACCACCGATTTTTCAATTTTCGAAAAAGTACGTGGAAGAAAAAGACAATAAACAAATATAATTTTTGTTGCCACATTATGGAATTAGAAGTTTTTCGTTGAATAAACAAAAACAAAAAATGGAGAAGATTTGAGTGTATAGTGGTGTTAAGTAATAAGTGTATCATGTCACAATCTTGACCTCTACTTGTTTATCTAAACGTTGTACATGGAATAAGGTGTTTGGCATGATGACATTGCTATAAATTAAAACACACCCACTTTATCAACAAACACAAACACAGCCAAAATCTTAAGGCACACAAAATGGGAACCTCTGATAACTATGATGTTCCTCCTCTACTTCAAGACCTTAAGGTGACCATCCACAACTCCTCCATGATTTTCCCATCCAGAGAGATTGACAGAAAGTCCTTGGTCTTGTCCAACATAGACAAGGTCCTCACCTTTGATGTGGAAACGGTTCACTTCTTTGGTGCCCATAAAGATTTTCCTCCCCATGTTGTCACTGAGAGGCTCAAGAATGCCCTAGAGGATGCCCTTGTGGTTTATGACTTCTTGGGTGGAAGGTTGAAGCTCAACCTTGAAACCAAAAGGTTGGAAATAGATTGTACCCCAGAGGGGGCAGGGTTTGTGGTGGCTTCCAGTGAGTACAAACTGGATCAGATAGGGGATTTGGATTATCCACATCCAGCTTTTGCACAATTAGTGCAAAAGAACAAGGATTTTCTCAAAGAGGGTGATGATCCACTGTGTGTTGCCCAGGTACTGAGATTATGCGTTACATCATTAACATTCTCATTTTATTATTTGAAGTGAAATGTTACTATTACTATGCCACCAACATAATTCTATTACTGATTCAAATTTATCAAAAATTACATAATGTTATAGATCTTATTTTTTATTTTAAAAAAATTTGTATTCATGACTTTTATCTTTTTATACTGATAATAAAAAATTATTGGTGGCTCTTGTTTTTCATACCAGACATTCATAATTCTTTGTAAAATATGAATTATGAGAATTATGATTCTTACATATGAATAAATTATGCTTGGTCAGTCAAAAAGATTTTTAGAACTATTTGTACAAGTTTTCTAAAAGGAAAGAGTAATAATGTATTATTTTTACTAAAACTTTGAATTTATTTTCATATAAATATTTTAATAAGACTAATATTGCATTTTTTATTATTATTTTTTATTTCAACATGTTTCAGTGGGTTTATTGCGCTTCTCGTTCGAATTTGAATATTTTTTGTGTATACAAGCTATCTTTGGGATAGATTTCACATTTTGAATTGATCAATAGAAAGTTTAACATCGTATCCTAAAATAACAACTAAAATTTTAAAAAGAAGATTCCATTTCAAATTGAAAGATAAAATATTAAAAATAAACCATTTGAAAAATAAAAAGATCAAAATTAATTTTCGTGAAAAAAAAGTCAGCTACCAAATGAATATTTTACGGTAAAGTATACTAGTAAATAACCATTAAAACAAAATTTTCCATTTTTTTCAATAGAAGCATAGGCAACACTATTATTACATGTGTCCATGTGAATAGTTTATTAGGTTATTATGACTTAGTTCCATCAAATAATAGTTAGTAGCAAATTAAAGCCTTCAATACAGTTCGCCCACTTGTTTGTCATATTATAAAGTTTATCCAATTAAATGAAGCTCTAACTCCCACAAATTTTTATTGACTTTACAACCGTCCACAGTTTCAGCATGTGATAATGCAGTATTTAGAATTCATATTTACATTATTTTATCTTATATAAATTCTTATTTGTCTTTTTGTTTAAAAAAAAACATCTTTTTAAGAATTATAATTAAGTTCATTCATAATTTTTTGATTTCATTCAGTAAAGAGGTTTCTTTCTCAAATCCCGTTCAATTATTTATCTTATATTAATTCTTATCTATCTTTTGATTGAAAAAAAATAAAATAATGTTTCGTTCTTCCATAATACATTTTTTTATTTTTCTTCACATTGATCTTTAAGAAAAATGATTAAGTTCATTCATAGTTTTTGTTTTCATTTAATAAAGAGATATTTTCCTAAATTTTACCTTCATTTACATTTATTTAAAATGATAATTAGATTTAAAGATTTTTTAATTAGTAATATTAAATAGGATTTAAAGAATTACAATTTACTTATCATATTTATATGTAAGTTGATAAAAGATGACAATTTTTTCTTATATTTATATTTAAGTGAAGATCACACTTCCTCAAATTATATTTTTTATGGATAAAGACAAGAAGAGAAAAACAAAGCTACAGTTGCCTCATTAAATTTTATTGCCCACCGATATTGACATAACATCGCTTGATTACAACATGAGTTTGAAAAACATTCAAAGCGGACCCTTTTTAACCAGATAACCGAAAAATCGGTTCAACTTTAAAGACAGAAGAACTCCATTTGGAACAGAATTGATATAGTTTCATACAAACTGTTTTGTACAATATTACACTTTTTTGCTTCTACATAGTTAAGAAATATTAATTATTAGCATAATATTTTGGGGGCAGAATACATAATTTTTTTTCACTTAATAGCACTGCTTAATATTTTTTTACTATTATTGGATAAAGTTAATCTCAGCTTCTTATTTTTCGATGATAAAATTTAGTTTTGAAACACGCTTAGGAAAGTTTTACATGATGGATATGATCTTTTAACAAAAGTAAAGCTATCTTATGTTTGGATATAGTATTTCAGAATTATTTAAAATAAAACATTTCTCCTTAGAATTTAATAGGCATTTTAATTTCAAATTTTTATACCATCATTGGGCAATTTTTTAAGTTGTTTTTTACTTTTAAGATAGGTATTATACACTAATTTTATAACTAGATATTCTGTACACCTTTATATAAGTTTTTTTTTTTGTAATTATAAAAAATAGGAGCTAATTTTAAAATGTATTAATTCTTAATTCATTTTCATATCATTAATTTATTATAAAGTTTATTAGTTAAACACCAAGTCATTCTCCACATAAGTGAATGCATTGTTAGCCCATCAACAAATAAGCCATACTCTTTAATGAAAGAAATTATTATTGGAATTACGTTGTGTAGGAAATACATATAAATACCATTTAAACCATTTGAATTTATAAGTATTTATAAATTAAATATAAATTTATAATTATTAATCAAAATTAATAAATGTTTTATTTATCGGTTATTTATATTAATGTGTTTTATTTAGACAGATCATTATATTACTACTTGTATTTTCTTTTTCCTCCATATTATATAAAATGTCTTTCTGTCTCGACCCACCTGGATTCATCTACGAAAACAGTATTTACATTATTCAGTAGATTTTAAGGGCTCACCTTTTACAGACAAAAAAAAACATAATGTGAAGAATACAGTTTAAAGAAACTTTATATATATATATATATATATATATATATATATATATATATATATATATATATATATATATATATATATAAACTAAAACTAATTAATACATAATTTATTTATTTTTAAATAAATGAGAAAGTTTATGAAAATTAACAAATTCATGAAATTAATTTATTCAAATGTATTAATTAACTTATGTTTCTCTCACAGATAACATCCTTCAAGTGCGGTGGTTTTGCAATTGGCATCTCCACAAGCCACACCACCTTTGATGGCCTCAGCTTCAAAACCTTCCTGGACAACGTTGCTTCCATAGCTGCTAAAAAGCTCTTGGCGGTGAGGCCCTGCCACGATAGACACCTCCTGGCTGCGCGATCCCCACCACGTGTCACCTTCCCCCACCCCGAGATGCTCAATCTCAACGACCTCCCCAAGTCCAACATCTTTGAAGCCTCAACCGAACAGCTTCACTTCAAGGTTTTCAAACTCACCTCAAACCACATCACAAAGCTCAAGGAAGAGGCCAAAAATTCAATTTCTGGTGACACAACCACACGCGTCACAGGCTTTAACGCTATCACTGCCCACATATGGAGGTGTAAAGCCCTATCATGTGATGATGATGGTAATAATAACCCTAACAGGTCATCAACTATTCTCTATGCTGTGGATATACGTTCGAGGTTGGACCCTCCCTTGCCAAAATCTTACACGGGTAACGCAGTGTTAACGGCTTATGCGACGGCCACGTGTAGGGAGATAGAACAATGGCCCTTCATGAGGTTGGTTCAAATGGTGTGTGAGGGTGCGTCTAGGATGACAAATGAGTACGCAAGGTCGATCATTGATTGGGGAGAGATCAACAAAGGGTATCCAAATGGGGAGGTTTTGGTCTCATCATGGTGGAGATTGGGTTTTGAGGAGGTGGACTATCCATGGGGGAAGCCTAAGTATTGTTGCCCTGTGGTGTACCACAGGAAGGATATTGTTCTGTTGTTTCCTCCTGTTGATGGTGGAGGTGATGGGGTGAGTATTATTGTGGCTCTTCCTCCTAAAGAAATGGAAAGATTCTATGGACTCTTCAATAAGTTCTTGGGTGTTTGAGATTGTGGGGGTTATGGAAAAAAATCTTCAACAAGTTCTTGTGTTCAGAGTTATGTATGTGTCTCTATAGTTTTCCCTATATGGATATCCTTATTCATATGATAGCTCTCGCCTTTTACTAGTTCTTATGTAATAAAGTACGTTTTTTTGTTGTTTTCATGTGAATGTAGTTTTATACATCTTTCAAAATTATATATTTAACTAGTGTTGACATTTTCAATATCTTATATAATATTAACATTTTTAGGATGTATATTTTGTTGTGAAGTCTCATACACAACTACATGAAATTTTCAGATTTTTTTTTAAGAATTAAAAAACAAGTAACTCTTAAAACATTATATAAATTAAAGATAAAAAAATAAAAAAAAGAGACAAGAGAAGATTAATAAAATATATATTTTAGAAAAGTATGAAATAATCTATTTATAAATATTCATGGTTAAAGAAAAAAAAACTAACCTCACCGGTCACGTTTCCACCAAAACCTGCGGAAGTGCTCAAAATATGTGGAGGGAGAGGCCTCCACATATGCAGCAGTTGGAAATAACTTTTGTGGAAGAGGAATCGCACAATGTTTGTGGGTTTCATGTGCGGTTAATGCGTTCGGTTTTGGTGCAGTGTGGGATTCTATTTTAACGTAGTATGGGTCATGGGTCTTCATCTTTATTTTAGGTTTTTGCGATCCTCTCTTTCATAACATATTTAAGCTGTGAAAAACTTAATCATATTTATATTTCTTTGGATATGTTAATGTATGGTAAAAGACCATACAATTTCATTTCTAATTTACCTGGTGTTGATCAGATTTGTAATGTGTAGGTCCAATATGTTCTTTTCATCGAGGTAGGTTTTTTAAGGTATCAATTTGCTGCTAAATGGACCACCTTGGTACAAAGCTAATAAGTTAGCCCAACTAACTAGGTGAAAAATGTTGAACTTCGGTAAACTACATAAAACATATCGACATAACGACTTTAATATGCCTAGGTACATGGGAGCTCAATATCTCAGTTTAAAGTAATAAACTGACAGAGTTTGACTTTAAGATACACTAATATTGTCCTTTCATATCTTAGTTTAAAGTAATAAACTGACGGAACTTTACTGTAAGATACACTAATATTGTCCTTTCATATGCCTTGTGCTATACAAAGACTCAAGCAACTCCGAGTACGACAATAATTCAATAATTGTAAAAATAATTCAATTTATTGACGTAATGGTAAAAATAAAATGTCAATAATTTTATTCTTAAATATCAAAACAAAAGCACACAACAAGAAAGGTGTGAAATAGTCTCTATAATTAGTGTTTGTTTCCTGTATTGAAATAAGTAAAACAGCCCTTTGAGTGTAACAAGAAGCTGCTGTTTTATAAGTAATTAAGACTTTTAAGATATATGTCTATACAGGATTTTTATGTCAAATAAAAAAGATTTTTATGTTGGTTATTGAACTGAATAGATATAGAAGACATAAAAGGCTAATTTTTGTTGTGTCAGTTCTATGTTTGATATAAAAAGTCAGACTTCCTATGGTAGTTACTCGAGATCACCCGTAACAAGAAGTATCAATTTGGTCCGTGTGAAAATGCAATTTTTTATGCTGATTACAACAGAGAACTTTAATAAAAAATTATAATCATACTTTTTATGTTGACTCACCTTATCATAAAAAGTCATATTTTGTATGAGATTACGATCAATAACCATTATAAAAAAATCTTAACATAACATCTTGAGATATAATTTCTATGTTGATTAATTAAGGTTAATATTAACATAAAAAATATTATTTTATTTGTTGATTATTATCACAACTGACATATGGGAAGTACATTTTCTATTATGGTTTAAATCTTAATTGACATTGAATTTTTTTTAAATATAATTGTTTGTTTTAGTGATTTTCCTCCACGTTTAACAAAAATACTAAACAAACATGTTCCAATATAATTTAATAATATGTTCAAGTTATATTAAGTAATGTACTAAAACATATAAATAATAGTTAACTTTAAAGTTAATATAATTTACATTATTTAAAAGTCAAAACTATAAATCTACACTCTACAAACTATAAAAACACTAAAAAAAAATGTGAAATTTATTAGGTATGAATGTCTTGTATAACTTCTTCATTTAAACATTTAAGAGATATGCATCATTGAGTATCTACAACTTCAAATATAAGAAGTCAATACTCCTTCTATTAATCAATGATGTTGATAGATATGATTGTAAATATGTCAAGTTATCTATATTACATGCATTCATGAATTCTTGATTGATGTGAGCACTACAAATTTAATACAAATAATAAAAATATATATTATATTAAAAGAAAATATCAATTTTAAAAATAACTCACATTAGATATAATATAACTTAGTTTCTTTCTAACAACATGTGAAAGTCCTCATAGTCTCAAACTAGCTTCAATAACTCTATAAAAGATTAAAATTAATATGTTATTACAAAATAAAGTTATGGATATTAAATTAGGTTACAAACTTGAATAAGAAACTTAGGAGTCTAATATATTTCTAATTCGCCAAGAGTTAATTGTTTTATGCAATTAACATAACAACATCACTTGAAATTATTGATGAATAATTACTAAAGAGTTACCAATGACCCATACAAGTTGCAATATAATTACTTATAATTAAGTGTTAAATTAATTAGCATTGTAAAAGTAAAATTGGTAAACGTACTTACGCTAGTAAGGTGCTAAGCACACTTGTTTACTTGCATTTTGAAATGTCTGTATCAAATATGTTTACACCTCAGTAGCTTATTTCATGCACTTTGAATGATAACAGAGTCAATGAATCCATATATGTAAACATTCTTTCTCTCAGTGCAAAAGTTGATATAAATACTCTGTACATTAAAAAAATATAATGTAAGAATAACATATTGAATGTAGTAATAAAATTTAAGGTTAATGGGAATATATTTACAATAACCAAAGTTGTCATATTGATACACAAAGTAGACTACTAGGGACAATATCAAACACATCCCTCTAACATAGAAAGAAAGGGATGGAAATGGTCCTACCTACAACTTTGAAAGGGATATCCAACTGTAAACATTCTTCCCTTAGGAACATCATATTTTTTAATTTTGCAGAATTTGATTGTATGACCCCTTTTCATACAATAAAAACATGTATTGAAAGATGTAGAAATTGTATTTTTAGAAACAAAGCAGTGTTTGAAATCTTTTGTTTTCTTACAAATCAGAGGAGTATAATCAATTCTAGCATGATCGAGCACATATTTTTGCGAACCAAGTAATGCATCAAGATTAAATTTTCCTTGTGAAAATTTTGAAAGTGTTTTGATTAGATAAACTACTTTCTTTTGTAATTCTGGACAAATCTTACATGATTCTTTTATATTAACACAATCAACACTCTTGTAGATTATTTCAAGATTTTCAAAATCTGTTTTGGTTTAAGGAAGTTCTTCTTCAAGATTCTTAACTTTATTTTTCAGCCAGTTATTCATCCCTTTTAATCGATTATTTTCTCTGGCCAATTTTTTAGCTTCTTCATGCATCTCATTGAAAGCATCTAGGAGAGAGCTATAATTTAAGGAACTATTATTACTAGAGGAGGTAGAACTTACATAGCTATCTGAGGAATCTTGTCCAACCATTAAACACAAATTTACTTCTTCTTCCTCTTTGTGATTCTTCAGTAGAGGAAATATCGTTGTCATCCCAAACAATATAAGCCCTTTTTATTTTTCTTTTCTCCTTCTTCTTGTCTTTAGTCTTTTTCTTTTTAGGACATTCCATCCGCATATGCCCCTGTTTGCCACACTCATAACATTTGTAATTAAATGAACTAGAATCAATTTTCTTGACAAACATTTTTTAACTTGGTTTATTCTTCTTTTTGAGAAATCTACTGAATCCTTTGACCAACATTCCAAGCTTCTCTGTGTCATTGTCTTCTTCTGATTCTTGATCTTTTTAACTAGTTTTGAGAGCTATGTTTCTTGGCTTCTTTTCTATAATTTCTTGTTCATTAAATCTGTTGAACTCCATTTTGTGTTCCCTTAACTTTCTGAACAAGGAAGCCTTGATCATTGTTAATAAATCTTTGGACTTAGAGATTGTTGTTACCTTGGACTACCAAGACTTGTCAAGACATTTTAAAACTTTAATATTCAATTTTTCTTTGTCAAAAGTCTTACCATGACCTATAAGATGATTGATGATGTGAATGAATCTCTTTTGCACATCAATAATGATTTCCTCTTGCTACATTTTGAACAATCCATATTCTCTAATTAAAGTATGTTTCCTTGCTCTCTTAACATTAGTTGTTCCTTCATGAATAACTTCAAGAACCTCCCACATTTCTTTAGCTGAACCACATTAAGATATCTTGAAAAACTCATCCATGTCAAGAGTAGAAGTAATAATGTTTCTTGGAGTACAATCAAGTTGAAATTTTTTTTCTCATCATCACTTAATGCATGTCATTCTTTATCAGTGACAAATGGACCAAATTTAATTGCATTCCATATATTTTTATCAATTGATTCAATAAATATTTTTATTTTAATTTTCTAGAATTGACAATCTGCTTCATAAAATAATGGAGGTCTATTAATTAAAGCTCCTTCGAGAAAAAGGAAGTCTATTTTCAACCATTTTGAAATTTTGGATCAAGATCTTGAGTAATTTTCAAGAACCTAGCTCTGGTGCTAATTGTTAGAAATACAAACTGAAATCAAGAGGGGGGTGAATTAATCTTTTTAAAACTTTTTAAAACTTTTGCAGATTATCAATCAAAGAATCAATCTTTACTAGATTCAATTAACAGAATACACAACACAAAGAAAGATGAGAAATAAAAGATACAAGAACATTAAAATTTTTATACTGGTTCACCTAATCCACAGGGCTACATCCAGTTCTCAACCAATTTCCAGTTGAGTTCCCCTAATCAAAGATATCTTGATTACAAATTACAATT